AAAATTTAAGTGAATTTAAAAACCCATTTAAAATACAACTGTATACATGTTTTTTAGTCATATAAATCTGTCCTGTTCTTGCTTTACCCGTTACAGAAGTGTAGCATTTCTGTACTTCTCAGTGATCATTTATCTCTCACCAGCTCCTTGACACAACAGTTAGTTATTAGTTAAATTTATTGTAGTAGTTCAGTTCAATCCTTACAGAAGCGCATTGCTGCCACGAAAGGAAAAAATGTTTTGCCCCATTATCTCATAATTAGATAATGATTAATTAAAGACAGCAATGATTACTTCAGTGTACTGTGCACTGTAAGTATCTAGAAGCTACCATGAACTTGGCTGGCACTTTTGGTTTAATGATTTTGTCGATGTCCAACGCCACAGAATTTGTACGGATTTACTTTCGACTGGGGTTTAGTCATAATGAAATCTTGCAATTTGTAGCAAATATGAACAGAATCATTACAAGCATGAGGACCAGTTTTGTGGGATTTAGAGATCAAAGCAATGATGTTTCCGTCATGAACAGTTATACAGTATATGCAATCAGTTCCACTGCTTAAAACTGTAAGTCCGCACGTAGCAATACACAGTAGGTATTATTTTACAATTGTGCTATCACGTGATCACATAAACTACGTGGAAATTACTATTATGACAAAGTTATTTCGTAATTACAAGATAAAGGCGAGGAGTTGTTTTCCTTGGTGGTAGCAATGCCCTTCCGTAGATCCTAATGAATTGTAGTGGCCACGATGTTCACGCTGGGAAAAATAGAACCAAGACCAACTTTGGAGCGATATATACCATCTTTATTCCCGGAACTCAGGCCGCAGCAAGACTGCAGTACCAATATTAACTCCAAGAAATGCTTGATTACATGTGGCCAGCAATGGGAACCGGCAACTCTCGGGAAAAAGGGGGCCAACAACAACAACACGCTATTCACATACTTTCCTACACAACTATTTACATGGCCAGGGTCATCGAGTGGCCAGCCAGATCAGTCCATCCCCCGTCAGCGATGCACTGTGACGCATATATTATCTGGGAGCCCTTCTGCTTAGGCACCCGACCAGGGCGCTACAGAATGCAATTGTAACGCTTCGGGGTTCTGGCGGGTGCCCTTTAAGCAGTGGATCTCTCTTTAGCTCACCAGGCTGGGTCCCTGTTGAGTGACGCCGGAGGCCAGGTTCGCATCCCCGACGGTGCGGGGCCAACCTGTGTAGGCAGCAGGCGAGGGCACCCACCTGAACCTCGTTGCGTTATAAAATAAAGAGACGAAAAATGTCGAGAGAATTTAATGTGACAGATAACTGAGCGAATGGCAGCCTATGTTTGAGAAGACAGGAGGGATATGAGAGAGATATACAAAGTGTGCAGGCGAGCAGAAATGTGCAAAGTTTGGACCTTCCTCACTAATGTCTATTATAAACACCATAAAGCTTGTTTTTGTCTTTTTTGTGAACTAACTGGATCTAATAGGATGTACAGTGCCTTGCGAAAGTATTCGGCCCCCTTGAACTTTTCAACCTTTTGCCACATTTCAGGCTTCAAACATAAAGATATAAATTTTTTATTTTATG